GTGTGTTCTCCAACACAACTCTCACAATGCTTTGCTGAAAGTACTCGCTTTCCCAACAGGGAGCTTACCTAACATTATTTTTAAAAAAGTTAACAAAGATCTGGGGTCAAAAGGACTGAAACTCAAATACCGCTAACAGAAAACACCAAATAACTGACCCAAGCGTGATGCTGCATACACTCTTATTGGTGGGAAAACAAAAGCTATTCACAACCGGAATGGTCCATTTCTCAAAAATAGGGGTGTTCCAAAGATTTTGGAGGTCTGTGGTTACGGGTTAAATAAAAGTGACAGCCTTCAGCCTTAGCGTACTCTTCTTCAAATTCTGAGCCATTTGCAGAGTCTGTCCTAACTGTTGACATCTGTTCATCAGACAAATTCTGCCCTGGACAGATGAGGTGGTCTGGTTTTAAGGACTATTCACAATTTGTTGTGGTTTACACAATCAAAAACCTTTATATGATCAATAAAACAAATGCAGACATTTTGATTTTGAAAGCTGTGATATTCCTGAATCCAGCTGGTGCACCTGACAGTTCTCCTTCCAGGGACTGTCTGGATCGTAAAATCTTGATTATTATTTCAGCCGAGTTTGAGAGAAGTGCAATTGTTTAATAGTTTAAGCATTCTTTAAGATTGTCCTTTTTTGGTAATGGAATATAAACTGATCTTTTCCAGTCCCTTGGCTACTGCTGTGTTTTCCTCAGCTGCATACACACTGTAAGTATTTCTTTAACTGCATCACCTGGCAAGGTTTTAAATGGTTGGATTATTAGTGTATCATCCACTAATGTAGCTGTGGGAGCAATCTTTTCTGGAATTTTTTTGAAACTTCACTTTTCAGAATTCTGGATCTAATTCAGTGTTTGTAAACTTGCACGTATCGTCAAATAGGAGAGAAGAACAATGTCATGCTTTTTTCCACAGCTTCTTTCTCCAGTTAATCTTCGCTTTGTCTTTTGTTTGACTTATCTGTTTATTTATTGTGCTTGACTTCATCTTTATATTTTCCTTAAGTAATCTCTTGTCCTTCAGGTTTGGCGGTCATCCTCAATTTCTTTGCATTGCTTGTTTCAGTATAACTCCCTGTTTTGCTTGCCCTTCTGTGGAATTTAGCATTTGGCTGGACAAATATTCCTCCCTCTTGTGTTGCCTTTTTCTTCACAGATTTTCAGCACGGCAACAAGTAGCCATTTTACTTTGTTTAGCTTTTGGGGGTATTTTATTTGTTTTAACTTTCATAAATGTCAGTCCCAAGTTNGTTTCATTAGTGGGGAAATGGGAGGGGGAATAGTAAGGTGCAGAATGTGTTGTTGTCAAAATAAAACATTCCTTTCTAGAAGCCCAAGGTCATTCATTGTCTCCGCACCTCTGCACCTGACCAGAAGGGGATGGGTGGAAATGCCAGCGTAGCAGTGGAAGATTGGATCATGTGATGGACTCAGGGGTATGGGGGTAAGATCATGAACTTTCAACTGGGTGGGAAGTTTTCAGATTCAGGTTTCCACAGATGTACCAACTTGTCTCTCTTAATAAATTGGAACTTTGAGGAAAGCTCTGCCTTGGACTCTGATTTACTTTTGGATGATATTTGGAACGTTGACAAAAGGTGTTTTATGACGCAGGAACCATTTGTCAGGGAAGCTGACTTCGGAGGCTGTTTTTCACACTTCGGAGGCTTTCCTGAAGCCTCCAAAGCATGAAAAATTGGCCCTATGGGCAAACCGGAATTTCGGGAACAAAATTCTGGTTTGCTCATAGCGCCCGTTTTTCACTCTCCGGAGCCTTCAGAGAAGTCTCCTAAAGCCTCCGGAGGTCGAAAAATGGCCCTATGGACAAACCGGAAGTCACCATTCCCGAACTTCCGGGTTCCCTGCAGGTCAGTTTTTTGCCCTCCGGAGGCTTCAGGGAAGCTCCTGAGGCCTCCGGAGGGGGGAGATGCTGTTTTCAGCCTCTCCAAACTCCTAGAAAGCCTCTGGAGCCTGAGGAAGGCAAAAAACCCATGGCAAAAGCAGATTGTTTTTTTTAATTGCACGCATGTGCGTGTGCTGGGGGCACGCACACATAGCTTTATGGGTGTGGCACGCCGGCATATGACCTCCCCTGTACTCCCCCCACTTTTGGCACAGTAGCCAAAAAAGGTTTGCCATCACTGGACTAGGACATGCTGCTCATCTGTTTCTTGGCCGAGAGAGCCAGCGTTGTCTGAAGACATTTTCCCTGGTCAAGTGGCCAGCATGGTTATACGCCAAAGGTGCAGACAGCACTGTTACTTCCTCACCAAAGTGTTACCTATTTATCTACTTGCACTTGCATGCTTTTGAACTGTTAAGTGGAGAAGAGCTGGAGTAAGGAATGGGAGCTCACCCCATTGCGCGTCTCTCAGGTCTCAAACCCAGACTGTCCGCTTTCTGACAAGCTCAATGTCTTTAAGTGCTGAGCCAAAGAACATTCCCTGAAATTCACTATGTGGGGCCAATGTTACTATGCTCTCCCTCTCTCCCTCTCTCCCTCT